CGTGGAAAAGTTAAAGCTATATTTCTTGAACATGAGGTAAAAGAAAATTAAAAAAAATATTCTATGCATTACATTAAAATTCTCTTTTCTTTTTCTTTTATTTAGGGATATTTTAGTGCTGTCGGTTGTTTAAGAGAATTTATAATGGATAAAAATGATCTCATTAATACTTCTCAACATTGATTATTTTTAAAATGATGACTTTTCAATTAATGTTTTGTGTCTATTTACATTTCTGTTTTGTGATACTAACTCGAAACTTATTATAGATAATAACATTCTTTGCATCGTTTTCTTTTTTTTGTACTAACTATGACAGAGTTGCATGCATCGCCGTATTTTAGCAAGCCACTCTTTTGTTGTTTTTTTTTTTGTTTTTCCAAAAATTAAATACGTGGTTTTTTGACCTAGTGGTTCAGATGTTTTGTTTTGTTTTTTATGTTTATTTGTTTGAAGATACAAAGGAAAGAAAATGGTACTTCTTAAAAGTATTTTTGATATATTTTGTGTGATGGAATGTTGCTCAAATTATTGGATAAGGAATGATATAAACGGTAATTTCTCTATTCTAATGCTATGCAGCAAGATATTTTTGTTTTCATTTCAATTTTCTTAAGAACTGCAGTCACGTTTGAAAAATCAATTGATTGGTCAACCACTTGTGTATGACCTCATATTAAGATCAATTAGTTCACATGTATCTAATTCAAATCCGTCCAAAGCTCTTGTTCTTTCTTTGCATGGTGGTACTGGTACAGGTATGTGTTACAAAGATGGACACTATTTATGTTGATAATTGAAGTGATGATTAGATGCACCAACATAGTTTGAGTAATAAAATTGAATAGGTTTTTAAGATAAAATCAATTCAAATTTCAGTTAAAAGTGAGACAAATTAAAATGAGCGTTTGAAAGCAACTTTAATATATGCAAAAAATTAACTACGTAATCCTTTACCCCTATGGTGATTCTGGAAGAACTATCGATGAAATAACCCTTAGAAGAGAATATTGATATCTTCGATATATCGCTAGTATGGACACAACCGATCAGACACACTCTCGTTGGTGACGGTAGTTTGGTCTCTCTCGTGACCACTAGTGGGAAGAACAACTTGACAAAAAATGCTATCTGGAAACCTTCCATAAATCTGATGTATTTTGACGAAAAAAATGTCTCATTTTGTAGAGAATGATCTTCTCTACCATTTCATGTGATGTGGACAAATTTAATACCCGATTTGTATGCGCTGAAAAACTAAAAGTTTGATTTTCTGTAATCGTTTTACAAATGTTCACTTCAATGATTGAGGTTAGGCAAAGGGTTAATCTAAAATAAATCGAACTTAAACGGCTAAATCACATGAATAAATTGAATATTAACCAAGAACATTGTATGAATAATTCGTTTACAATTGTTAATTATCATAATAACAAAGCTTCATTAAGTAGATAAATATATGAATGGATTTCTCTCGAACCGAGTTGAATTCTAAACGATTTCATCACTCATAAATTTGTGGCCTAATTATTCAATAATAGTTGTTACAAAAGAATTATTTATCTTAATTTGTATGTGTTTTTCGATTTTATTTTTTATTTAGGGAAAAACTTTGTTGCGAAACATGTTGTCGAAAGTCTTTATCGCCAAGGTTACAAAAGTAAATACGTTCGACTTTATGTTGTTTCACGTGATTTTATGCATATTGATGCGGCACATATTAGTCAGTACAAGGTATGATATGTGTAAGTAAAATAAAGAGTCTCATGGATGAATGTGAATAGATCTCTGAAAAGTCAGTTTTAGTGAGGCAATGTTGTGGAGTCGGATTTTAGTAGTGCCATCATCGTAGATATAGAGTATGGCGTGAATCTATCCTGAAATTCTTGAGTTTTTGTAATGATAAAATTTGAGAGTTATATGCTAATGGCTTTTTAACCCATTAAGTTTAATTTGATATGAGCTGAAAGAATCAATATTGTTTCATATGTTTATGGTAAAAGAACTTGTTAAAAAAGACTAAAAGTTTTAAAAAATGAAAATCAACTCGACGATGATCATGCCTCTATTTTTGGTTGATTTTACATATATATTCATAAACAGTTTCTTTATTTTAGGATCGTTTAACGAAAGATATTGAAGAGATAACTAGCGCATGTCAACAAGCAACATTTGTCTTTGATGAAATCGATCAAATGCCTAATCAATTATTAGATGTTATTCTATATTACATTGATTTTCATACTCCTACTAGTTCTCGACCGACTGATTTTCGTAAAACGATTTTTATCTTCTTAAGGTATTAAAAGAAAAACAAATTTAATATAACTACATGAAATTTTATTTTATAGTAATACTGGTGCTAAATCAATAATTAAATTAGCTGAAAAAAATCATTTATCATCAATAAAACGTGAAAATTATAATATTCTTGAATTTCAACAAACTCTTTCAGATGCATCATTTAGTGAACAAGGTTAAAATAAGAATTTAAATTTAAATTTTAGTTTAATGTTTATTGTATTTGTGATATTTAGGTGGATTACAATCTGCATCATTGATTGATCGACATTTAGTTACTTTTTTTGTTCCATTTCTTCCTCTTGAACGTACACACATTCATAGTTGTATAAAACGACAACTTCAAATAATTCTTGATAATGATGAATATGAATATGAATTATCTGGAGATGATATTATTAATCATGTTTTAAATTTGATTGAGTTTACATCTTCATCATTTTCATCTCTAGAATATTCTGTATCAGGTTGTAAAAAAGTTCAACAAAAACTTGATTATATTTTTGAAAGTTTTCAACCAACGTTTAAAAAAACAAGAAAACAAATAGAAGATTTTGATGATTTATTGTAATTGTTCTTTGTTTTGTTAAACTTCAAAAAACAAATCATATTTATTTTCCTTTTTTTGTTGGTGTGTTTTTTTGTTGGTGTGATTGATATATTGAATAAACGCCATGACTACTTTGTTCATAACAGTTGCAATCAATTACAAATAATAAGAGAAGAATATTTCTGCCTTTCCTTGGTGGGTACATATCAGAGACCGTCACAGGGCAGGGCAGGGCAAAAATTTTTGCCCTGCGCCAAAAAAATGAAGAAAGTCTGATTCTAGTTCAGTTTTTCTGTTTAAAAAATCGATTAATATAGCAATGTTTTTATTCAATTTTAATCTAATTATTTCATGCAACTGTCTTGTCAAAAATAATTTTGAATGAATTAAGTCTTGCTTATAAAATGAAGTTGATTAGAAATGTAATTGAGTCTTTTTTTCTGCTACGCGTCTTAAGAAATCTCAATATGAAATGACTGCTTGCTCAAAAAGTTTATGAACAAAGAAAAAATTGCAAGGAAGAAAATCAAATAAAAAGTTGCCTTTCATTCGGAAGACCCAATTTTAATCGACTAAATTAAAAGATGGTCGATTTTTATCAAACACGGGTCAAGAATAGAAGATCATATTATATTAGAAGACCACGCACTAAAAAATTCCACAAAGCATAGTAGAAGATCATGAGTTCTCAATAGTTTTGTGTCAGAAATTCTGCTGACTTTATGAAATTCAGCACACAGAAACTTGTTTTTTCAGTATCAAATGCCCGTCTGCAACACATTCTGATCCTCAAGTTCCATTTGGTGGTGTGAACGTTATCTTCTTTGGTGACTATTTACAATATCGACCTGTATATGATGCACCATTACACACTGATTTCACATTATCATCTAAAACTAAATCGCGCAAATTACCCACAGAAAAAGAAATTCAACAACGTGTTGCGCGATCTTTAATTCTTCAAATTATTTGTGTGGTAAAACTTACGCAACAGATGCAAACGGAGGATCTATAATACCTTCAATTACTCGAACGACTCCGTCATGGAGAATGTAACTACGACGATTATGAATTATTATTGACACGAGTGGTTGGGCAACCATCAGTAGGCTCTCTCTGTGATTCACCATGGAATAAAGTAAGATTTCTTTTTTGTTTCAAGGGAACCCCCCCCCCCCTTATCGACAAACTTTTTATTTTTTCATGAAATTCAACAAATTTTTCAGCGAATATTAGTCTAAGCTAGAGTAGGTTAGGGTTAAAATTTCGCCCGAAATCTCCGAAGCACTCACGAGTTATGGTCAATTCACTGAAAAAAATATCCTTTACGCGGGCAAGGTTTTCATGGTCAAGACTTCAGCTAAACAGGTCGAAGTGGTTTTAAAATTGTAGAGCACATTTAGGGCTAGATCCTAATAGAGCCCGATTTTTAATTTCCCTTTGTTCAATTTAAAAAAAAAACATTTCCCAAAAGTTCACAAATTCGTGGCAAAAAATCGCTAACGAAAACTTTATGTTGAATCGTTACGGCGTAAGGTTTGCCCGTGTAAACGGTTTGGTCGAAAAAACTGATTTTGAGAAAAACGAAAAAGAAGATTTTTGATTGGGTGATGAAAGTAAGTCTGCTTATTTTACTTGCTATTTTCGTATTATTCGTCAAACTTTATTAGATGGTGCGTAGGTGGATATATTATAGTGTTTTTAGCAGTACACACCTAGTCAAAGTTGTGATCATGGTTCCCCATCCAGAGTGTAGATTAGGCTTCGTTTTTGAGATTGCATTAGAAGAAAAAAATAGTTTTGATCGGATAAAATATTTTTCTAAGGGAACCCTTCTGTGTTAGTAGACTCTTAATAGTTAGTATAAGAAGAGCTATATTCAATAATGAAGTGAATGGAAAGACAATCTTTAAAAATTTAAAAAAAAGAATGAAAAACTTGAAAAATCACGAAAATACTATATTAGCTCCAATTTTGACCAATAACCCGGCCAAAACCTGACCGTTTTTTGAAAAATCATACATATTCTGAAAGAGGAGACTTCAATGCATCTTTCTATGAAAAAACTCAATTTCGGTTTTTCTTCGAAAAAATGTTTTTTTTTAGGGGGAGGGGGGTCCCCCTTTAGATGATTTTCCATCTTTGTCTTATGCAGGCCCCCATTCTGGTATTCCGAAATGAAGTACGAACGCAATTGAGCCACAAAGCAGCAATCTACAATGCAGCACAACTAGGTTATACACCAATGGTATGTGTTGCTCAAGATACTTGCAAAGGTCAACCAGTCGAAGATCTTGCACTCGTTAAAAAACTCCTCGAACTGTCTGATAGTAAGACAGAGCATTTACCCGGACTGTTACCTTTTGTTCCTGGAATGCCTGTTATTTTAACACAAAATATAGCTACTGAACTGGGTCTTATCAACGGTATCAATGGAATCTTTCGGCAGTTAGTCTATCTATCAGGGAGATCCTTTGTCAACAGATATTTTATCAGAAACATTTCCGAACAACACACAATATATTCATCGATCATTATATGCTTTGATTTAAATTGCCAAATCAAAAATTGAATGCAACCTTGAAGCACTTCAAGCAAAACTTGTTTCAATACCGTTAGTGGAACAGACATTTCGCGTCGACATTGGTGATATTCTTCCAAAAGATAAGAAACCAAAATCAAGTAAAAAAACAATTTTATCTATTAAGCGACATGCTCTACCACTTGTACCTGCTTATTCCATTACGACACATAAGAATCAAGGTCAAACGTTGAATAAAGTCGTCATTGATCTAAAACTGCCCAATGAAACTGATGACATTGCAGCAGTTTATGTACCTTTATCGCGTGTAAAACGTTTAATTGATTTAATTATTTTACGGCATTTCGATTACACGGTTTTGCTAATCAAACCAAATAAATCTCAACTCGCCGAAATGGAAAGACTTGATAAATTCTATTTAGGGACACAAATGCGTTTTTCCACGTGGTTTTGATGCTTTGTCTCTATTGTACAAAATTTCATTCTCCAGTATTGATATTTATACTTTTATCTATGCAACGTGCATTAGTGATTTTTTTCCTTTCCTCATGCAGTTTTTCTGTTTTATGTCTTTTTAATTTACTCCCACATTCTCAGCATGTGTTCTGTTCAGTTTGTGGTTTTTTGCTTTATTATTTTCTTGTGTTTTATTATTCTGTTTTTTTATACATTAATGGAATGATGTTTATTATATTTCTTTTCTATTTGTTCATGTTTGTTATTATCAACAAATGAATTATGCTCGTATGTTATATGCGGTGAAATTATACAACAATTAGTAGAAATATTCTTAGGCAATGTATAAGGTGTATTGTAAATCCAAAGGATCGCATTTCACCAAATTATCGTTGCGTCATACTCATTTCATTAGAGCGGTCTAGCACTTATATTAGGCTTGTCTACAGATAATTTAACTTTCTTTACAAATTTCGCTCGAGAATCGAGAAGAAGCGCTAATCTTGAAGTTATTTGTAAAAAGAAAGATATTTCTTCAACAGTTGGGAAGGTACACAGCTAACTACATTTTATATTTTCATTGATTGTTTCTGAAAGATAAAATTGAATATACAAAAACTGAATCATTCAGTCGAGAGTATAGCGAGTCGAAGCGACGAGCATTACTTGTTAATAAGCATGAAATTATCGTTGAATTGTAAGCATCGCAATTCAGTGGTAATTGAAAATTTATAAAAAATATATGGCATGGTGTTGAATGTGTATTGGTTTCTTTTAGAATTTAGTTTCTTTGATCTTGAAAATTACTCCACAAAAATACCAATAATTTATCGTGAACAATCTCTTGTTTTACGTAAAGTTGATGAAAGGTAGTTATTGCTAGTAGCAATCGTGAAATTCTCTGTCATTGAGAATGGTATTCTTTCTCCAGTTTTTCAAAGTTAATAAAAATTTCTTCTCAGCTTGTATCCATAGTGAGAAGAAAACTAAATCATTCCCATTATATTCTTTCCAAGTGATATCACGCATCGGTAAATAATCACCCCGAACTTTCACCTAGCTTACAGTAGTTATTTAAAGTATTAATGGATGGTATTAAGTTTTAGTGTGCCCTCTTTCAAACTGACAGATTGATGCACGTTTTAAGATATATATTTCCTATAAATGGTTCAACGTTTTTTTTTCAAAATATGATGCCCTCAAACAAATTATACGTTTGAAATGCTAATTCAAAATACATCTGTCGGCTAGCTTTTTATTTTGATGTGATGAATTTCATTTCCCATAAGTAAAGGATTGAATTCATGAAAAAATAATAAATACAGTCATTTGGGATTCTTGACTGAAGTTTTTGAAAAACAATTTTTAAGATGAAAGAAACTAAATTTTGAAAGAGCTAGATATAGATCTAATAGGGTATCTTATTTTTTCGATTGATTTCAATTGTGATCGTGTTGCCGTGGTTACAATTCAACGATAATTTCATGGGTTTTAGTTAATGTCACAGATATAAAAAAGAACTGAAGTCGATGAAAGTAGTGTCGTGTACGATCCGAAAACAGACCTTGAATGATGTAAAAACGGGGTGCTTACGGCAGTATACGATATTGATTCGTTACGTTTTCGGTCCGTATTATCGGGTGCAGAAAAATGGACCGTTTTGTATTCGTTTCGAAAACGGACCGTATATTGATCGAATACGATGCGTTATATTGTCCATTAACAGCCCGTCTTAGCAAAATTTTTGCAACGTAAACCACCGTATGTCTATGCATACGACGTGGCCTACTATCATTCTCCATATGATTACTTCACTGAAGAAGAAGGCACTTCACCGTCTGCTTCCCCCTCTTACATAATTGTCCCGCCAAAAATATTTCTTTATCTGAAAAAAAAGTTTTCGGATCGATCACGTTTTCTGATTCTTTTTAAAGAGAAAGATTCCCTAGACTGCAAGGATACGGCCTAGAAACCGAAATTCACCTGTGTTTGTCTGTCTGCAACACATGGTACAAGTGACCACACGGATGGTACAAATGCGCAACATGAATGTACCAATGATCATATGTATGGTCGATGTGAGCAGTTTGTGGTTATTTATGATGTCGCTATAGTCATAGTGCCATTGTTTTGGTCACGTGTACGAACTGTTAGAGACAGACGGAAGTAGACAGATATAGATGAATTTCCGTTTCTCTACTAGTCCCTCAGTCTAGGGTTGAGCGAATGCACTGTCGATGAGCATTACTTGTGATTTCGCGAAAAATAATTTCAAAAAAAAATTTAAATTGAAGAATACACTTGGAAAATTGTTTGTTTTGACCTCTATAAAAAAGTTTATTTGAAAATAATTAGAAAAAAAATTATTTCTAAAATAAAAGAAGCTTACATTTAATTATAGCGTCCGATCTCATTTAAATAAAAAAAATAATGCCGAGAAGAAAATAGTAAATATTGTCATTTCAAGCAATTATGCAATTGGCCCTAAATGAAAAATAACTTGTTTTTGAAATTATTTTAAAAGATTTAAATTCGAACTTTTTTTTGAAAATAAACACTTACATTTAAATACATCGTTGAGTTTGATCTAAATAAAATTATTTGCTTTAAAATAAATAAATACTGACATTTTACTAAAACCTTCGATTTGATTAAACCAAAAAGTAATTTATTTGGACAAAAAATAAATACTGACATTTAAATGAATTTTTTGATTTATAATGAGTCACAAATAATTTGTTTCCAAACAAAATAAAAAGATTTAAATTTGAAAATAATTTTTGTAGAAATAATTTTTAAAACTCTTACATTAAAATACACTGTTCAATTGGGTCCAATAGAATATTTGATTGGAACATAAATTAGAAAGATTTCAATTGGAAAATAATGTAACAAAAATTTGTTTTTCAAAAAAAGACTTACATTAAAATATATTGTTGGGTTCTATCTGAATAAAACAGCTATATATTTTAAAGAAAATTTAAAAAATTTTGATCTTAAAACAATTACAAATTTTTTTTGTGAATTAACAAAATTCTTCTAATCCTTATTATTTTGCGCAAAAAAGAATACCGCCTGCACATCTATCATAGTTACCGTTCACCGAAGAAGCTATGCACGAATAATCGTCAAAAAAAATCCTATATAATTTTGTGCATTACCTCAATAAGGGAGTCAACATGAATGAAGATGAAACTTCGCAGTCCGACATCTTTAAGAGTGGAAGATTGTTGTCCCCTACAGAGCTCAAAGAAGCTATTGATTGACGTATAAAACGACTCAAAAACACTGCAAGAAGCTTGACATTAAAGGAATAACAAAAGAATTTTCCGTGATATTCAAGAAATATGTTTTCAATAAGAAAAGTCATCACATCATTCTACCATCGTTTCTGATAGTATTAGATGAAATTCATCAGAGTTACTAAAGTATGTACCGTCAAACGGTAATTGGACAGACTTCACTCACATGTACACCGCAGCATGATAAACGAGTGGATACGAAACAGATGCGGAGAAAAAGACTAAATCCCGTTTACGTAGCTGTGCCCATAAACGTCATAATGAGCTCTCAGATGCTAGGCTGTGAAAAATCGTTTCTATTCTACAATGATGCATTCGAGAGTGTCCAGAGAAACACTTCCACCATGTTTTCAAAGAAACAGTCCGAAAAAACAAAGTGTACGATCTCGTTTACGTCCCGTTAGGCGGTCTCTGGTAATATTTTCGTAAACGTTTCCTCATTTATACGTAAGTACACCGTAAACCGATGTTCGTAACCGAAATTTTACAGAATGCCGTAACAATGCCGTTTTCTATCCGTTTACTGCCGTCTACGGACAGTCTTGTCTGACCTGGGAAAGCTTGTTAATTTCGAACTGCTGGAAATTCATTGAACATTAATCAAGGAACACTTTTTCGTCAGAGAATCACAAAAACAAATTTGAATTTCATATATAAGAATTGTTCATTTGTTAAAAATATTTAATATTCTATTGATTTTATATAGAATGTTATAATTCTGAATATTTTTTTGCTGACTGTTCGAATCAAGAACAGTGTTCCTAGCAGAAACAGAGGAGTTATTTTTTAAATTTTAATATCTTTGTCAATATAAGGCGAAAAATTCTCAACCTTGAGATTGTTATTCCTTGACTGATAAGGAACGACTTTTGTCACGGAATCACAATAAAATTTTCAAGTTAAGAGAGTAAAAATATTCATTTGCTAACAAAAATATTTCGTTTTTATACATTTTACATATTCTGTCCTAATTAGTAACATTTTTTCGCTGGGCGTTCTATTACGCGCAGTGCTCCCAATAAGGACAAATTCAATCATTATTAATCTACTGCTAATTACTTCTTTGTTTTTCTAGATAATTAGATGATTTGTTTTTCATTATTGGATTCAGAACACATTTCTCTCTTCAACAATATAAAAAAATCCATATATTCCGCTATAAATTTTTCCAAAACAAAGGAAATTTTCAAGGCAGTTGAAAAGCTGTTTCTATTAGTGGGACATGCACTTTACTTTCTTTTTAATTTTATTGTCTTCAATTTGTTCATTTATTCAAATTGTGTTTTTTGTAAATTGCCCCTAGCGATATACAATCTATATAGTTCTTGGATTGACTTTTGTTATTTTAACTTCTGGCATTGATCCTTTCAGTTGATTGAAACTTAGTCAAATCGATCAAAATTGATCTAATATATATTGTTTTGATCTTTAATTTCTTTTTCTATTTTATTTGTCCATTGATATTAATTATTCTATACGAAACTTTTAAGTGTATGCAGTTTGTGACTTTACTAACAGTTACAAAACGAAAAGACGTAATTCATATCTCTGAGTAATCCAAAATTATATCATGTAAATATAAGTAACAGTGACATGCACTTTGCTTGAAAACGAAGTGCATCTTTTCGTTCTGTGCATTTCATATCGATTACTTTTATCTATCATTTTATGCTTATTATGAATCGCTCTAACGAGC